TCCCTATGCTTCTATATGCTACCATTACACATCACTAACTTTGTGTCTCCTCTCTCCTGTAGTGTGTCCTCTCTCTCTCCCTGTACCTTTCTGCAGGTTGCCCTGGCCCTGGAGCTCTATGTCTCTGACGAGCAGTCACCGGCCACATCGACCTGATCAGTGTTTGATTGTTGTGTCTTGTTGCTTTTCTTCTTTTGTCTCTCCTCTATCCACTCACCCCAACCGGTCGAGGCAGAAGGCCGCCCACCAAGAGCCGGGGTCTGTCGGAGGTTTCTTCCGTTAAAGGGAGTTTTTCCTCCCCACTGTCGCCAAGTGCTTGCTCAAGGGGGATTTGTTGGGTTTTCCCTATGTAATAATATTGATAACAGTAAGGTCTAGACCTTACTTTGTAAAGTGTCCTGAGATGACTTTTGTTGTGATTTGGCGCTATACAAATAAAATTTGATTTGATTTAATTTGAGAAGACATAAAAGGTGAAATGTCTGAAATCAAAACTGGATAAGCATAAAAGGAATTTAAAAAAACAATACTAGTAGGACTTACCTCATTGTACTTCAGATCACAGAGTGCTGTGAATGGGCGCTCCCTGCTTTACTACTTCTACAGGCTGCAGCTCAAACTACTGCAGTGGTTAGGCTCATTTTGCTGTCTGTGGCCTTCAAAACACATTTTTATCATCTGAGGTTCTGCAGAGGTTCACTGAGCTCCCCACCTTTCTATAACCAGACTGAGTGTGAGCAAATGCTACATTTGGACATTACTAGCAATTCATACAGTCCAGCTTCAGCACCAGTTCCAGTGGTCTTTGTAACCCACATCCATATATAAATAAAAATGATGGACGTGAACTGAGAGCCAGTTGCCCCTCAACAAACCCTCCAGAAGGGAGCACCCAGGATGAGTAGAAAAGAAATGAAAGGTCATACTTACATCCTATCCTCGCAACCTTTTCCAAAGCTGAGATTCTGAGATTCATCTTGCTCTAGTCACCAAATGAACTCTACCATATTGGTGGGGTTTAATCAATAGATTAGCTTTAGACGGAATTTAACATTGTGTCCATGCACTCTGTGTGATGAATTTAGCTTGTGAAGAGCTAACACTTTTAATCTCAAATCAGCATCATGAACAGCGATACCTGTCACCCACTTTGGAAATAAACAGACACTAAAAATCCATCTATGGCTGCCTGAAGTAATATTTGAATACTTCAAGCCTTTAAAAGACACTCCAAAATATTTGAATCAGCATCAACTACTGTCTATTATTTTATTGTTTGAATTTCACAAACTAAACTAAATATTAACAGACTTCCTAGATACTATGGTTGACATTAAGAGAATAGTCTTAGGGAGGAATCACTTCTATAAATTACATAAATTGCAGCTCCATTTGCTGTTGAGGAATTTCTAATTACAAATGTTGAGGATTCCTTCTCCAAAACCTAAACTGTAGTAACAGTAATATGATACATTACCTTGTGTGTGTCCCGGAATTTACTGATCTCTCTGGAAATCAAGTCTCTCTTGTCATCCTCCAACTCCATGGCATTGATATCCTCCTTGCACAAAGACAAGAAGCAAACACTAAGTTTTTGCCAATTTCTACAAGGAAGCTACAAATCACAGCACAAGAAAATCTTGCTCTAGGCTTTGTTTACATGTACATCATGCAAATACTACCTCCTCTTTCTTCTCTTTCCGCTTCTTGTTGCGAGGTTGACTGTCAGGATCCTGCGAGGGAGCATTGAGCTCACTTGCATATTCTCGGATGAGGACATCTATTGCTCCTTTCGCAACCTGGTCCCGACGCACGGTTTCTTCATCAAGAACCTCCTCCTCATCTTCGTCCCCATTCTTTGACCCACCGGTGACTACCTGTATGTTAAAGGCAGAAACGTGGGACAAACAAGCTTAGAAACACAATTTAAGAAAATGACCAACATGCAATTTATCTTTTACTCAACAGGTAAACTGCATACCCCACTGGCACTCCTCTTCCTGGCCTTCCACTCATCTAGCTGGGCCTTGGTCTTGGCATCTACCTTGACCAACAGCTTCTTATCACCTAAGAGCAACTCGTGTAGAAGTCTGAGGGCTCGCAGCGTTGATTCAGGCTCCTTATATTCACAAAACCCGAAAGCTTAAAGAAGTAGTGAGCAGAAAGAAATTTAATTCCACAGATATCAAAATAAAAAACAGCTGATATTTTGAAATATTGACAGTAAAAACAATATAGAACTTTTATTTTCAAGTTTGAAGGGTTTCTTTCTGTAAATGAGTGCAAAAAATCTAATAATATCCACAGTGATTCAATGCTACAAAACATACAATGAGCTTGTTAATATGATTACAGTGAACCTTTGATAAAGCTGTCTTAGGACTCTGTAATGTAACATATGACATGCATTCACAACAGAAGATGGGTTAGTGTGTTGAGCCTTTTTTGTTTTTACCTTGAAGTTTCCCAGAGGCACCTTGGACCCTTTTCCAGCTTAGAACAATGCCACATTTCTATAATGGAGGAGGACAGAAAAATGCATTATTTAATTTCACATTCTAGATACTAATGATTTATCAAAGAGAAATAAATCATTGGTAACCGCTTACTTTGGTGATATGTTGGAGGTTTGAGCATTTCCTAACTGCAATAAGTATTTGTCATCTGCCACTCTTAATCTTACTGTTCTTGCTTAGTTTCTTTTTACCATGTCCAACAAAAACATCACCGTATGTATATATGAACCAGCTGTGATTTTAAAAACACACCACTGTTTCATGTCAAAAGATCACACATTTTTATCAACAAGATTACTTAATTTTATGTACAGTCAACTCACCGCTAACAGCTGTCTGACCAACATGTCAGATGCCTTTTCAGAGATGTTCCCTACAAATACTGTGGTGGTGGGACCATTGCCGTCCTCTGCATCCTTGGCTCTGATGGAGCCAGTCTCCTTCTTTGGAGCCATCAGCTTCTGTGCTACAGCAACTGTGGTCGGGACAAGAACCTGCAACATGAAATTACATTTTAGGTATTCAAGTGAAACTCTTATCCAGAAATAAAAGCAACAAAAGAAAAATGCAAATTTTAGGGTCAGTTAAACAGCACACTTTCCAATCTAACTAAGCAAAGTTATGTATACGGTTACAATGTGTAAGGATTATTTAACTAATGGCATGTAATGCAGACCAACTGATGTTTCATGCAGTAGGAACTCCTGTTTCTAACTCACTGTGGGTGTGGGGGTTACTACACCCATATGAACTGGGATCATGGGAGTACCTGGAAAAAGAAAAAAATACATCACTAAAACCATGTAAGGAGACACACACACAACCACAGACAACAATAGAACAAATTTTACCAAACAAACAGCAACAGTTTTGCTATTATAACTTAATCCTCAAAGTGTTTCATGTAACAGTAATGAAATTTATAGGCATTTATCTATGATTTTCCACAGTAGTGGAAAGTAAGTACATTTCATCAAGTACTGTACTTAAGTGCAATTTTGGGGGTTTTCATTTTCTACTATTTAAAACTTCAATCTCACTACATTTTATAGGCAAATATTATATTTTTCACTCCACTACGTTGAATTGATCACTTTAGCTACAAACTACTTTTCAGAATCAAAATAATAAAACAAAATACAACATATTCATAACAGTTTACTGATTCCTGGTGGGAAATTCAAACTACCCAGGAATAATTCCAATTATAAGCATGTAAGGTAGTGAGAATGAGCTCCACCTTTACCAGCTGCAAAAATTAAAGCGATGTACACAATAATGGATCAATGACTATAATCCAATAATATGATTTACATTAATGTGAATTATGCCATTCTGCATAATGGGTATATTTATACGAGTATATTTTGATGCCAAATACATTTGCATTTCTTGGTTAACATTTTTGATTCAGGACTTTTACTTGTAATAGAATTAGTACACTGTGGTATTACTACCTTTACTTAAGTAAAGAATATGAGTACTTCTTCCACAAACTGATTTTCATTTGCCATTTCAAAGCACATACCACAAACCTCTGTGAATTTATTGGCCCTTTTTCTTTTCCTCATTTCATCAGCAGTAACCCTTTGTCACATCATTTTCATTCTACTGACATAAAAACATTATCACCTTGCTCCTGCACTTTCACTCTCACATAACTGTTTTATTAGCGTGCAAGAAAACAAACTGAGTGTCTTGGAATTTCACAATGTAATTTTTCCCAGGTCCTCGGACTGCTTGCCAAAAAAAATTAAAAAGACAAAGGGCCCATGAGCATGATTTACAAAAAGACAGCTGTTACAGCTATTCTAATATGCAGTACCTGGCGGGACTGTCGGTGCAAACCCCCCATATTGTGGCGGGGGGATCCTCGGGGGTAACTGTGGGATGCCAATTTGCTGGTGGTTAAGCGGAGGAGGGTACGACATCCTCAGTTATCTAGAAACCTGTAACAAGAGAGAGGGTGCTCAACTGACAACCACGGAAGTATTACTGACGTTGTTCAGGGTTACGGTGGGTCATGTCAAGTACAACACGGTATCTGTTTATAACATGATCGGCACATCTGACCGCCAACACCGAAAACCATACAGGTGAGATGCCTACTCAGTCGAAAAGTGGCCATCCTCTACGTATAACGTTAAGTAGCTAATTAGCTCAAGCTAGCTAACGCACACTCTGTGGCCTTGCTAGCTCACATTAGCTTCAGCGCTCAGATACGGATTTTACTCACCTACAGTCAAGTGTATAATAAAAGCCACCGTCCGATAATATTATAGACTTCCCAAATAAAATGCCATTAAATACGGTATACACAAAAATGCAACGCTAAATACAAGCGTTATTATTACCGCCAGTACACTTCCAAAGCCCCTATGGATACAAATAACTAGGACCTATTCTTTTCGAAATGAATCATGGGATAGCACAGCATTGCGTTGTGGGTTTTTATGCCCTAAATTTAGTCTATTAGGCAAGTATTCACTCCTACCCTACGGATTTTTTTATATCTCAGTTTGCTCGTTTGACTCCTGGACTGCCCATAAGACGAATGGGCAAATGAAAATTACCTTTGATCTGGACAGTAATTGCTGAGAAACTTAGTCTAGTTTGCTTTTCTATACCTTCTTTTAATCAACCAATTGAAACATACTGTGTTGTATTTAGAATTAATAAACACTTCATGTCACAATAGATGGTTTAAAGATTCAATAAAACATTATGTTGATGTAATTTGCCTAAAAATGTTGATAACCGAAACTCCAGAAGAATACAGGTACTTTAAAAACTTACTTTAGCCTATATTCATTTGACAGATCCAAAGTGACTTGTAATTTTGTTTTTGCAAACAAACATGTTTTTTTCACACATATGGGGAGCAGTGCTTTTCTCAAGGACATTTTATAGACTGTGGACTGATTTACTGAAAACATAAAAGAAAAAATAATGGTTAGCATTACTTGCAACCCTACACTTTTTATTTGTTGTTAGTCTCCTTATTCTTCCTTTATGCAGTATAGATTTAAAATGTATTAGCTCCTGCATTATCAAGCAACAATAAAATAACCAGACAAAAAGATAATTAAATTAATAAATCAAACAGTTATATCGAGGACCTTTGTGGGAATAAATCTGTTAGACGATACAATTTGTTACATCCTGGGAAAATGCGTTGCCTGGCAGGCTATACTCAGGGCTGTTAAAACCTTTTTCTCATATTATAAAGTCTGTGCACCCTCCATTTACAACGCGTGGTGGGGCCAAATCATCGATGCCAAATGTTTTGCATTAGTTTACAAAGACGCTCGAGAGTCATGGTCACGCCACAGTCACACAGGTTTTTTACATGCTGGGTGTTTACCTGACACAGTACTTTTTGTTTCATCAGACCAGAGAATATTTCCCATCATGTTTTCAGAGTCCTTTAGAATTTGTCAAACTCAAAGCAGGCTGTTATGTTTTTGACTCAAAGTACTGTCCAGCCAATCTACCATAAAAGCTTGGTTGATGGAGAACTGCTGAGATTGTTGTCTTTAAAGAAGGTTCTCCATTTCTGCAGAAGACTTCTAAGCCTGGTTATCCAGTTTGGCCAAATAGCTAACTCCAGCAAGAGTCCCTGTTGGTTCCAAACTTCTTCCAGTTTACAATTACTGAGGCAAGTGTGCTCCTGGCACCACTCACATATTTATAAATTGTTTTATTCCGTTGATCTGATCCATGTTTCACCACAGTTTCACTGCTGAAATCTAAAGAGTCCCTTGGTCCCATGGCTGGACTTTTTTTTGTCATGACATGCAATATGAATTGAGGAACCTTACACTGTATATAAAGGTGTATATCAGTAAAACCATACTTACTCATTTCAGTATAAGTAAACAGGCGTGGTCCAATATATAACAAAAAATGTCTGATTAATAATTCTGAGTTTGTTAATAACAGGGTACTTTGGCACTTTTAATAAAGATTTTGAATGTAAAACCTTTAAGTGTAATAGTTTTATGTTTTTGTGTATTTATCATTCATTCATTCATTTTACAGTGTGGTGTAGATGTAAAAGGTTTCAATATTAGGCTACGTTTTTCGCAAGAGACCGACAACCAAAGTAGACATCTGTCTGGGTAGTCTAGATATCCCTAGGCTATTTGGAAAGATGGAAAGATGGAAAGATGGCCATGCATTTGACCTGAAGCCACAATTGTTTAGGCCACAGCTCCGGGAGACGTGTGGGCAAAACAACCGGGGTAAACATTATGATGTCAACAAGTCTTTCAACATCGCATGGCTGGAAATTTCCACATAGGTGAAACCGCAGTTACGCCCTTCACCCAAGACCTCTCCAAAAAAAGCTCTTGACAGTCACCTCGCAGGCCACGCCCACAGAACGAACCCACTGATTTCTGCATTTCCTATTGGCTAATCCGAAGGCGTTATTCAACCTGACGTCAGACGTTGTATATGGGACCGGACGTACTGCTAGTTAAGACTATATGACACTTTATGTACGCTTAATAAATCAAAGGACCATTTTGTTTGTCTGAATAAATTAGGGTGTGATTATCTCTATTCATCTCAGCCCTTTGGTTCACTAGCTCATGAATATTAAAAAGGTTAAGGACCTTTAAGACAGGCCTCCTGCGCCGGATTCAGCATCCACAGAGCTTTCGTCAGATTTCACAGGTCGTTGGCTAAGGTCTGCTGGATCAGGACTGAATCGACTGAGAATTTTGTAAAGAAGAAACATGGCTTTGAGGGGACCACTATTCCGCCTTCTCAGAACTCCATTCAGCCAGTCTTGCCAACAAAGCAGAGCTCAGTCTGTGGCTGTGCTGGGGGCACCGTTTTCAAGAGGACAGGTAAGAAAAGCTTTTTGGTGGCAATAACTTTTTTTTTTTTTTAATTCTCCGTTTCCAAATAGGGAACCCTCTCCAGCACTGACAACTAATTACTGGTTATTTTTAACAGAAGAGAAGAGGCGTGGAGCACGGTCCCAAAGTCATCAGAGATGCCGGGCTAATCGAGAGGCTCTCCGGTTTAGGTAAGCGAGGGAAGAGAGCACACGGTAGGAGCAGCTTATGTAACGTTGCACGGGTGTTGCTGCAGGTTCGTCTGGGCTGCGTTTAGACACATTTAACTTCTACCTCCGGTTTTGTGCCATCTTTTTATATATCCGGGAGAAAGCAGGCTAAATGTATTCACGTGCGGTTACACCATGACACGTTTCGAAGAACAAAGCGTGTCCAAATCCGATAAAATCCTTCTGTCCTGATCATTTCAACTACATTTTATAGGCTAGCAATAATTTAGTGATTGCCTACAACAGAATATCCATTTTATTTAAACTGGATAATCGACATAGGCCCCACTGAATATGTAGCCGACATCACAGACCGGTTTTTGTTTCGTGTACGCTATTTTTTAGAGTGATTTGACAACAGAATAAACCCAGAGTCTCACTGGAATCGTATAGCTTAATGACTTAAATCCCTGTCCAAATGCTATACTGATGGAGTAATGACCACCATAATCTCATGATTTGACCTGGTTAAGTCCCCGCGGAAACAGCCCCCAAACGATGCCATGCAGGGGCGGAACTACGGTAATGTGTCAAAGTCATTTCGAAAGTAACGCAAACACATATGACTACACTTTAGTAACTCTGCAATAGGTGATGAGTTGTCTTTCCTCTCATTCGGGTAGCCACGGGACAGGTCTAGTCATCCCGGTCCCGGCACATTCTCGGAAGGGCACAGGAAGAGCTGATGTAGCCTGTTCCCTCGGTGTCGTCACTGCAGACAAACTGGGCTCACACGTATTTTGTTTGCCGCAGTGTAAACGCGGACTATGGCAAGACCCATTTCACATGAAATAGGAGGACAGGGTTTAAGATATGTGCAATGTATTTATGACTAGTAAAAACTACAATTTCAGGTATCTGCAATTACAATTCGACTGGTCACAACTATGTCCAGCTGAATTTCGCTTAGTTTGAGACACCAAAAGGGTCATTTGGATATCTTTTAAACATGCCAAATTAAATGTCTGTAATTGGAATTATGACTAGTCATATCTGGAATTCACAATTCAGACAGGCAAAATTGAACTGTAAGTCAATGTGGAATTCTTACTAGTCAAAATGTAATGGAAGATATATTTAATTCAAATTTTGTCTAGTCAAAATTGAATTGCATATATCTTAAATTATAGTTTTGACAAGTCATAAATACATTGTATGTATCTGTAATATGAATTTTAATGTAATAAATGCTAAAATGTAATTGTAGATATCTGAAATTGGCATTCTTACTTGTCAGGATGCAATTGTAGATACCTTGATTTATCATTTTGACTAGTCACATTGTAATTTTGACTTGTCAAAATGCAGTTTTAGATAAACAGAATGCAATTATAGATATTCAAGTGAAACCTTTTAAATGTGAAACTGCCTGTCTTACACTAACAGTAGGCTAGGCCTATCCACTGGAGAGGGGGTGCGGAAAGAAAGGGGAAAGACACCTAAAGAATCCCTTCTTTACTTCAGCACTTTGGGTTGCCAGGGTTGCATTTACATGCCTACACAACAAAGGAGATTTAGAAACAATGGGGGGAATGATGTAGCAAGACAGTTTTCTGGAGACTGTACAACTTAATACGATAAGGTCATTATAAAGTCAACCAATTAAAGACACAGAGAGGTGACCAAGGACACAACAGGGATTAAACTAACAATTTGTAGTAATTAACTGGTAATTAAAGTTTGTATCTGAATCATCAGTCAATCAATCCAAAGTTTTTTATATAGTACATTTAAAAACAACAAAAGTTGCACCAAAGTGCTGAACAGAAATGGCCATAGCAGCACATAATTAATGTCACAAAAAAAAAAAGATGTCACAGGATTACAGAGAAAATGGCACTACATAATTTAAAAACATCACGCAAGGTTAAAAGCACGTGACGCACAGGCTTGACTGACACCAGTATATGGGGCATTACAGTAATCCAGCTTTGAACTAATGGGATAGTGACATGTTCATCAGTCTAATGTAGGGAGGACTATCACATAATCATATACCTGTATAATTACTGGAAAGGAAAGAAAAACATGGCTATGATGAGGTCACTTTGAAGGCAGTGGCACACTGTACCATATGTATGATATGGCTGCTATACTCACTATAGGGTATACCAGGGACTAAGCTTACTATAATTATACCACAATTAGTAAGAATACCACCTAGTTCTCATATGAATATAATGTCAGTGACTGCTGCTGATACTTAAGCATCCAGGTGTGGGACAGGTAAGGACATTAGTACAGTCCCTGTGGTGTAGCCAGTTAAACAAAGTATTTGCCAGGTATTTCTAATGTGTCAGGTCCCAGACATCTGCTCATCAGCTGTTGATAGCAGTCACTGCCCTCCCCGGCCTCATATACAAAGCCTTACTGGGACAATTTTATTTTCTGCAACTGACAGACTTTTATACTCGTGTATATCCATGCTACTACTTCTTATATATCTGAAGTATGCTCCTCCATGCATTCTGAGAACTAATGTAAGTTTGGGCTACTTTTAGCCTGATTTGCCATATTTTACAGACATTGTCTGAATTCTGCTAATATGCTGAGATTACAGGTAGAAGTATAAATTATTTAAAAACAAGTCCATGACAGCATTGCGCCATAACTGTTGCCTACAAAATGCTGTGATCACATTAAAATCAGAGGTCTGAGAAGTGTCCTTAATCTGCTGAGCTGACCTTCCTGGTTAGCAGCAGTGAAAATAGGTATACTGTATTGTAGCTGCCATGTCACGAACTGATCCCAAAACATGAAACCAAACCATAACTGAATGCTTTGCCATCTGTATATTCTCAACATCGGTGTCAGTTCAACATTTTCAATAAAAAATACATATAATCACTGGAATTCAGATGCATAAACACTAGCAGCATAGTCTTTCACAGTGAACAAAGGCAGAACTTGCAGCCAGTCACTGCTTTAAAAGACCTTTTGAATTGTCCTGCAACAGATGCTCACGAATGCATCAAAGCAAGTGCTATTCCTGTCCTGTCTAGGAATAGTAATGAGCCATATTGGTTCCGTGAAGGATCACATTCCCGGATCACATCACTTGTTTACTTCAAGGTCCATGATTTTTTGGTTCTTCTGCAGCGACCGAAACCTGAGTTGAAGTGGGAACTGGGACAAGTGCTCTGTCACTAATGTTCCACTGGCATTGAATGACTCAGCCTCATCAGGCTGTAAGTTCAGATAAATGCATGTCAAGTCATGTTACAGCAGGTAGTTGATGCAAGCTTTTCAACTGAAAGTGACACCTGCAGTTTTCAAAATAGGTTAGTATCTAAATTAGTAAGAATGTCCACTACCAACAGGATGCAGGGTGTTCACCATGTCCTGCAACAGTGAGATGTCCTGTGGTGAACCCCTGCTGAGTAATTGTAAACCGTATCAAAGGAGTGATACTGCAGTGCCTTCATTTAATAGCAGCTTGGTGTTTGTTCCTCAGACTACTCTGTCCACGACTTTGGTGACCTCCACTTCCACCACCCTGAGATGGACGAACCCTACATGGGTGTGAAGTTCCCTCGCACTGTTGGTGCAGCAAATAAGATGCTGTCTGGGGCAGTGAGCAGGGCTATCGGGGCTGGGCACACCCTTGTCATGCTTGGAGGGGATCACAGGTAATTCTCAGAGCATATGGAACATATGCACTGAAGGTACTACATGCCAAGTGCCTGAAAAGCAGTACAACTAGTATAATATTTAGGTGTTAGAAGGCTACACTATATTGTTTTACCCTATGTGTCAGTGTGTCTTGCTTAGACTGATATAAACACCAGATATTTATTAGACCGTCCTTGTCCTTTCACAGCCTTGGTATCGGCTCAGTCAGCGGCCATGCTCAGCAGTGTCCTGACCTGTGTCTCATCTGGGTTGACGCTCATGCAGATGTGAATACGCCCATGACTTCCCCATCAGGAAACCTCCATGGCCAGCCTGTGGCATTCATGCTCAAAGAGCTGCAAGACAAGGTGAAAGGAAATATTAGGCTTTAGTAAAACAAAATGAAAATGGGTTCTCTTACATTTCCATGCTAATGCAGCCCTGTGCTGTTTTAACACATGAATATTTTGAGTCAAACAAAAGCTATGAAGGTTCTGAAACACACAGTCATGTCAGTTTACTGGATGTGAAATGCATGCAGAAGGCCAATTATTTGTAGCACTGTCCTATCACTAAGGACTGAAAAGTGTAAATGCAGACAGCCTTAACCACAAGTCCTAGTATAGATTTTCCAGTTATTTTCCATATTTTAACATGTGAAGTTATAAAAAACATAACTTTTGAAATCAGGCATGAAGTGTTTCTGTCATCTTTTTAAAATCTGGTTTGCTATGTACTTCTTGACATGATAAATTAGCTTTGTCTAAATTATGGTCCAACATTAAAAAAAAAACAACAAAGTACATTTATCCTCTAACTGTGGAGGTTTATTCTGCTCCTACAAACACATAAACTCTACATTACATTTTCTCTTTCTGTCCACCACAGATGCCAGATATCCCAGGGTTCTCCTGGACAAAGCCAGTCCTCTCCTCAAGAGACCTGGTGTACATCGGACTGCGGGATGTCGACCCCGGAGAGTAGTACGTAGATACTACCACTTAAAACTTTTACCACATGTGGCTGATGGGACTTCATTTTCTAACACATAAGCACTTGAAGAATAGTTCTTAATTTTGTTTATTTCAGCCACATCATGAAAAATCTGGGTATCCAGTACTTCACTATGAGGGACATTGACAGACTGGGCATCCAAAGAGTCATGGAAGTCACCCTCGACCACCTTCTGGCAAGGTACTGTCTATACAGCGTGTAACAGATGATGATGTTAACTCCCTCGAAGCTGAACATGACCGTATGATTGTTTCTAATGCACTGTTCTGTTAATTTGATGACTACCTATGTTTCAATTAATGTGAAACATTCATTCACACTTTCTCACCTTCTTGCCCAGAAAACAGCGACCGATCCACTTGAGCTTTGACATCGATGCATTCGATCCGTCTCTGGCTCCCGCCACAGGAACAGCAGTGAATGGAGGTTTGACCTACAGGGAGGGAATTTACCTCACAGAGGAAATCCATAACACAGGTACAGATGAAAACAAATAACAGATTCTGTATTTTATCTGATTTTCTCTGAGCTTTTATTGTCAGGTTTAAATATCTAACTCATGAATGTGTTGATGTGCAGGTCTGTTGTCAGTCATGGACCTTGTAGAAGTAAACCCCATGCTGGGAGCCAATCATGAAGCCGTGGAGGCCACCGCCTCTTTAGCGGTTGATGTCATCGCGTCATCTCTGGGACAGACGAGAGAAGGCGCTCACGCCAGCATCGGGGTTCCCCCTGTGAAGAATGACACAGAGCAGCTCCGCATCTGAGAGCATGAAGCAAAACTATGAAATTATCAACATCATCTCTGAGCATTCCGCAATACTTAACTTAAGAGTATCTTACATTTCTGTTCCCTTTGATTTGTTCTTTAGTGTTAAGTTCAATGATGAAAACAAAGTTTGCCTGCAGTCATGAAACTACGAACGGACAGGTGAAAACACTGATATTGCTGAGACTAAAGCCTCGGACTACCACTACACCTACTGATGGGAATACTAGTAACCTTACCACAATATTTACTTATTTTTCTTCCTGTATGTACTAAATGTTATAGAACACAGCTGCCACATATTTATTATGTTTGGTTTACAAGAGAATGCACCTGCCTCAAAGGTACGAACTGTGTTGGACTTAGTTTGACACATTCACGGACTCAAAATCATTTTGTGTCTGTGCTAGTTACTAAAAAATAGCAATGATGCGTTTGCACTTTTGGACCAGCTATGTTTACTGTATTTTCTTTACAGTTATCTATTTTCAAAATGACTCTACCAGTACATGTACTCGGATTACTGTTTAAATATTTAATGACTATATAAGTATTAATTGGCTTGAAAACTGCTGATGTCCAGCTCTGCTGTTAATTTCTGGCAAAAACTGGTTGAATTGGTCTAAAGCCTGGTCTATATTTGGCCCGATATGGCCACTGAAGGAATTGTCCGTGTAACAGAATTTATATTTTGGTCTTCCATAAATGTGACTACATTTTTGTACACGTGTCTTATTTCTTCCTTTGTTTGTTTGAAGGTATACAGTATTATCCCCATAACTAAACTGTTTCATTTCAATCTGAGACTACAGTCACACTAGTAGCTCTGCGAGGCTGCACTGTACTGCAGTTTTTAAACATGCTAACATTTGATTATTAGGACTGAACACAAAGTAAATTGAGGCTAATGGAAATAGCATTAGTTGCATTGCAGACATTCATAAACTAGAGTTCTGGATGAATAAAATTTTGATGATGATGTTACATGAAAAATCAGAAGTTCCCCAAAGTTATTACAATTCATCCTGGAGGGAGCATGAAGTCAAAAGTTCACAGCAAACTCTCTTAATCCAGATGTTGAGGTATTTCATAAGAGAAATCTTTGACCTGATGAAAACACTAGCATTGTGAAGTGCTAGTCATTGGGTTCATTCTCTAAATGTCTGTGCAATATTTCATGGCAATTCATTCCATATGTAATAAGTCTTTTTGGACTGAGTGACATTGCTTCACACAGTTATGCTGCCAGCATGGCTAAACATTATCCAAGTAATTTTAAAAGAGGGCCAACTGTTGGACTTTTATGGAATTTATAACCTTAGTATGTCCCCCTTTGTACTTAGGATGAACATAAAAGCTGTGAAGAATATGAAGGTATATTTCAGATAAAAGCAAAAAAGAACAGACTATCCTGTTCTACCCCTGATCCACAGAAGCAGGTCAGCTAATATATATTTATGTTTTGTACATGTACTTCACTTCAGGAAGGCATGATAAGTGTGCAGAAGAAAAGCACTGTGGCAGATGCACCGTGCCACTAAAAACAACCTCATCTCCTAGTATATGCAAATTCCTAGTAATAGATGTTTACCCAGCACTAACCTGCCCTGCCTTTCACAAACTCCATAAAGGATGTTTTAACTTTGGGTTTTTTTTTTGATGCATTCCCTGAAAACACCAGATAAAATCCAAAGTGTGGTTAAATATTAGCTTTAATCATGTGGAGACTTTCCAAATAAGGAACACTGAAGCCTATTTCGATCATACAGCAATTACCCAACATCATTAACCATAAAGAACATTGCATCTATTTTTCACATTCACCCCTCTGACAGAAAAATTTGTCCTAAGGTCTCAGCACTCAGAACTGGAAAAAATAGCTTAATAGAGCTTTTTGGATACTGTACTGGAACACATTACAAAACAGATTAAACTGGAGCCATTTCATTACATACTGCTGTTCACTATTAGAAAGATAATCCACAACACAACTGTGTTGAATGATATTTGTAAAGAATCCCAATCTGAGAATTTATAAAGCTCACAGAACTGCTGTGTCCATAATATTTCATACATAACACCACCAGGGAATCTACACATGGGGGTGGAAGCAAACCCTGACTTGTCTACAACTTCACAAAGAATCATCGCTGGGATCTGCAGCAGCCAGGTCCAGAAAATCATCCTGCAGTGCATCACCAGCATTAACAGTCTGATACAACAGTGCAAATCTCAGTTCATAGTTAGAGCTTCTGTGGGTTTGGTCCATTAACAGGTTCAACAATTCATCATTCTTGTCAAATAAATTTCATGTACCCATGAACAGAAACCCATCTCAAAGGCATCTCATTGTCCCTGTTTGCACTCACAATTGGCTGAATACAGCACAACAGCATTATTGCTACTGGAGTGGACAGTCAGTGCAGACAGATGTAGAGAGTCCTGGTTTGCTCTGGATCTAGAGCTTAGACAGTTTTCAAGTGGTACAGCTCTTATTTTCGGAAGAACTTCAGGTAAATCACAGCGCCCAGGATGGCCAGCTCCATTACAATTATGACACCCAAAAGCAACTTGTTGGTCACCAGCCTGCACAACAGAAAAAAAAAAATGAATAACTAAATAAAAGAAAATCATCAAGAAGCAGAGGCTCAGGTCATTGTTCCACACCCATTTACAGCCATATTTCATTCAATCTGAACTTAATTTATATTTCGTTTGGAGAACTGTAAATGTAGTTTGGATTAGAAATGTCCTAAATAAAGTAGAGCTGACACATTCCAAGTGATGTTATTTGAAACATCATTGATTAAAGGTTTAGTCACTCAACAAACAGTTTTTGGCAAGTATCATGACAACTAAATCATTTTTCAACAAAAATGCCAAAGATTTGCTGGTTTCAGCTTCTAAGGTGTGACAATTTGATGCTTTTCTTTGCCATACGTCACAGTAAACTGAATATCTTTAGGTTCTGGACTGTGGTTCAATGAAACAAGACATCTGAAGATACTGCCAAGGGGCTATGGGAAATACCTGGGGGTTTTTTTAGTTTGTTTTTTTACTATATTTTGACACCTTATAGATTAAATGAGAATATAATCATCAAATGAATTATAAAAAATATTTGCTAGTTGCAGCCCTAATTACTAGTACGTTCTTAGCAATGTATTAATCAGAATAATTTATTCACCAAATCCTTGATTCAGTGTAATCAATGTGCCCCATGAATGAAGGCGTACAACACAGTATATTAACATAAAGCCTAGTCAGTTTTTAATGTTGGGGACATAGAACAATAGAAAATACATCACACTCAAGAAAAACAAATTTTGCATTCAATCATATAGTTCATAGGTAACACAAATAAAAAGAATGTAACAGGGGAAGCTTGTTGTGGCACTTACCGCCGTGACATGGCACGTAGAATTTTTCGACTTCGACTGAGGTTCTCTCCAGTATTCACCAACTACAAACAGAAGAGATTTAACAAAACTGTGGTCTCACAACATCTTCTCAGCTTCTCAACTGTATCAACCCCCACACTAAACTGTACCATCCTGATTTTCTCCATACCAAGTAAACTGCTGCACCCACTTCACAAATTATTCTTATAAAATATGAGAAACAGCCATGGAGGCCAACATAAGTCACATTTTAGACCGAACATAGCTAAACTAACACAGCATCACAACCTCATATAATGGCAACATAGATTGACAGCTCACTCTGTTTCTAGTGCGGTCCAGCTGTTCCCTCTGTTCTCCCAGCTCCTCGATGATATCCGTGCCAATCTGCTCCGTCTCAACGGCGATGCGATGGCTTCGTTCAATACTTTGGCTGGCAGTGTTCAGAGACTCTGTGCCCTGGAGCAGCAAGGCTCTCTGAGACTGCAAGTGTCTCTGCATAGGTGGGCAATAAGGACAAATCCAATAAATAATATTAATTGTGACTGAAGAGGAAACTCCCTTAGATTGTTGTAGATTGTTTTATACATTTCAGGGAATATTTCACAGTAAAATTTCCATCTTAGTGTCCCAGAGTCTACAAAAAGTATCCCAAGAGATGTAAGATTCTTGCTTTCAGTTTTTGAGGCTGTCAACGAAAGCTAACACTTTCCACTGATATGTTAAATAGTTAAGATATTTTGTGCTTTTAAATGTTTTTGTAAAAGACATTAAAAGACACTGAAAAAGTCTCTGTGTTTTGTCATATTGTACAATCAGCCACTATTAAGGGGAATAAAAATACAGTATATACCCAATAAAGACAGCAAATACAAAAATATATATACAGCTATATTTCTATAGCTGTATTCTGACATATTTAAAGTGTTTATACAATATTATTATTGAAAGCAAACAATTATGCATACATGCATATAAAGGGTCTTGGGTCTTTTAATAACTCTCACAGTGAGATAACACATAAAAGTCCACAGGCCCACACTCACACTTTGTTGATTTTGTGATGAATAGATTCCATGTTGACTTCCTTCCCCTGGTTGGAAAGAGGAGCCAGAGCTAGAAGCAGAGTTTTTCATGTCCCGCTGCAGCTTACCCAGATCCCTGCGGTAGAGGCGCAGCTTTGTACTCATCGCATTTCGGTAAGAGGAAGGGGCAGCACGCAGCTCATCTTCCATTCCTTGTAACTGGGGAAGTTTAGAAAACTGTACTGGGTAATCGCTTAGAGAGCAATGAGGTCCTCCTGTGTACATATTAATGCACTGGTCAAAAATAACTCACTATTTACATTTCTGAAATGGTTACAGCAAAATGCTGGTGAAAGGTGCTTCTCATCATCATCATCATTTATTCACTCACAACCATGACTACATGGTATGGAATACAAAAAAATTGTTAGTCTACCTTCATTCATAACCATGTGGCAGAGAAAATATCAGGCACACTTCTCAATATGAAGTAATATATGTCAATAACACAACCAACTATAGCCTTTCAAAATGTCCAGAAAGTTGAATCAACACTTCTCTAAATAATGGAAAAAGTTGACACATCTGTACGAACTGTTTGTGGCTTCATTTATGTACAGTGCTGCAGAAATGATGCAAGTTAACCCACTATGTAATCCCTGAAAAGTTTTATACAGATTTTAGCTTCTGTCGACTTTTTTAACCTCTGACAGCATATGTCTCAGCTTTATACCATTTAAGGTTATTCACTGATCCTGAAATGCTTAAATGTTAAAATGGTGGTGTTCTAAAACGTCTGACCCATAGTGTTTAACGTAATGAATGAATGAAGGTTCACAATTTTACAAGTGCGTCCTGTAGCTTAGTTTAGTGCCACATGAAGGCTGAATAGCGTTTACTTGTTGTAATCATTCAGAACTGTACAGTATTTGACTACTGGCACTGGCGGTAAAGTAAATTTTGGTAGCCTAAACATGAGTTCATCAGATATCACTTCCAAAACACTGAATCAGAGCAACTCACCACTTCCTCGGCTTCCCCATTTCTCTCATCGAAAGTTCTCACCAGCCTCTTCCTCTCCTCTGTTACAACATAAGTTTCAGTTTTACAACACAAAACAAAACTTCTGAAATACCTATGTGATTCAGCTAGCATTAGCATTAAGTGGCAAAGCAACAAGACAATGTACTTAACGTTACCTCCGTGACATTTTATAGCTCTCTCTGGCATTAGCTTAAGCTCTTCGTACAGTGATCTGTAGACTTCGTGCAACTTCTCGAATTCCTCCGACGACATATTGCTTCAATTGTCGCTCAGCTACTAGTTATCTGAGAAACCAATGTCTTTCGATACAGAATGTAACAACGATAACTGAAACGACTGTAAGTTAATATAGTTAGTTCGCTTTGTTTTCAAGCTAATCACAGCCCCAATATCCGTATGATGGGGCTTGCGACGAAGCGAGATAAATTCCAGACCAAAAATCAAATATAGCCATATTTCAATATATCTTTACTAATCAATAAAACTGACAGAACGTTACATTCGGCACAACAAGTCATTAAATAATGATAGAAAACGACTTAAAACCAACCCTTATGATAATTTTATTCAGGCACTAGACAGTCAGCTTTCACTGGCCCCTTCTGGGAAATGTAGGTTTAAAATCTTAGGGGGGAAAGCAAGGATGTAGGGGGAGACGGTCTTTGCTATCTTTTTCATTATTCAGAAAGTTTTATGCGTTAGATTGAAAGTGGAATTATTAAACCAATTTATTGGTCTTAGTACTAACAAAACAATTATACTATATTATATTAACAAACAGTTATATCCATTTTATGTAAAATTACTTTTTACCAGTAGAATACTGATGTAAAATTGTATTTATATTGATGTAGGGCCTAGTTTATTAGTCTAGGTTTATGGTTATGGCTAACCTTGTTCCTGTTTTTTCTTTTTTGGGGGAGAGGGTATATTATTATACTGTATCAATATACAGTATAATAATTCATAGTAATGAATAGTTATTGTTCCGATTTGAATCAAGATCAATTAAAGTTTTTTGAAAAAAGAAATGTAACCTCTTAGGAACATGAAATCTATTTCTAGCCTTTTAATTGGTCTGATAAGGTTAACTGATTCCCTAAAATTGATTATATATTTGTTTGCCTGAGAAATTGTCTTGCCATTCTACTTGCCATAAAATAATTATGCCAATTATAGTTTAGGCTATTTTAAACACATCAAATCCAACAAAGACAAGATGTTAACAAAAATGGCCACAATCTTAATGGAAAACAATAAAGAAGACTACATTCTTATCTGATTATAAAAACTACAATCCCATGATTCCGTTCGCGGCGCATCTTTCACTCTCGCTATGCTTGACACCCCTTTATGCTTTGACATCAGCTGTTCTGCCTACAGAGCAACGCTGTCCTGCTAGAAGAGACAGAAAGGCGCAAATCAACGGCATAATGCTGCTTTTATTAATTATCGCGGGGCTCGGAGTGGTCATGTTACTGATTTTATTTGCGCCACATATAAGGTAAGCAGCAATGAACACACCAATTCATTCTAATACAAATGCACATCATGGATATGTTGTTACTTGGGTGACAGGGTGTTACATTGCACTGATGAAATGCTTACGATGAGGCGCATTTACATTATAAAGCACCATATGTCTATGTGACCCAACAGGTCGTAGTTTATATTATCATCATCATCATCATCATCATCATCATAAGCTATGACTTCACACGACGCCGAGTGATTTTCTGAGCAGATAATCAGTGTAACATGAATGATGAAGCTGTGCGAAGCGGTGTTCTGTCAAATTTTGCTACCTTGTCGAGATATACTACCTGGTTGCAAAATCTATGGACTGACTAACGTCCCAATCCATCCCCCTAACCTTAACCACTTTGTGAACGGTGGGTAGCAATTTGACAGAACACCGGGTGTCTTCCACCTGAGCTGCTCGGGCCTATCAGGAGGCTGCGCGTAGGAGGAATTATATTTGTACACATTACTCCAACAGAGCCATTGACTATGGGGAGACCTCTGTTCAGTGACGTGGGCTCCTTGCTCAACTTTCTGTAAGAATAACGAAGCCAGGCCGTTCACGTGTCCAGGCCTAATGTGGACATAACGAATACTGACTACAGCGGGACACTAGTCATTCAAATGGAGCTGTGTGTAAACCAAAAATTAAAATCATAACATTCCAAAGTGACAAAGTGGTCACTGTGTATTAACAGAAAATATGCAGCAGGAGGAGTGTGCAAGTCCACTGCTCGTCTGGATGGGAAGACCGTCCTCATCACTGGAGCCAACACAGGGATTGGGAAGGAGACAGCTCTGGAGCTGGCAACCCGAGGTGCCCTTTTAGATTTACCTAGAAATACAGTGCACAGCACAGCGCCTCCTTATATCCACAAGTACCTATGACAACTAAAGAAAACCGTTTTATAGAGAAAAGTAATAAGGTTTTAATAAGGTTAAGAATGTACTTTTCATATCTGGATATACTGTATTATGATATGGCAAGTGTATAAACTTCAATAACATGTTACATGGTTATGTGTAACCACAATTTTCTTGTAAATACTCATTTGGATAACCTTATAATACAGTGTCATGACTATACTTCTATACTGCAATGTTATCCTACCAAAACTCCCATAAATCTAATTTTGAACTATTGCCCAAATGAAATATCTTTTTCCACTGGTATTTTCTAAATTAATGACATTCTTAAATGTTACATTAAAAGTTATCACAGGCATGTAGTCTTACTGCTTTGCAAGCAGCTTACCCAACATGTTTCACTGGTGGTTGTCTGTAAGGTTATTGACCTCCTGTTTGGTGTCTTCATTCTGTGTTAGCCTACTAAAATTGTGTAAATTGCTATGTTGTGTATAGAAATGCATCTAATGCTCTTTTATTGCATGGCGGCTTACATGTAAAACCATCTTTTGTGAAGTTTTGTTCAGCGAATTACTCTCAAGCAAAGACTACACAGCATAAATAAACAGCACAGCTAAAATTCATAGGTATTTAAATGGTTTGGTTGAATTAGCGATGCTGTGAAAGCTCTGACATTAAATGCAGTTTGACTATGAGAAATCCTAATGTACATCACTAGTCAACAAGCCTGTACCAGAGAGTGCATTCAGCAAATACCTCCATGCACCAATAGCCAACAGAAGCCCTCTCTATCCTCTCTTCTATTAACTCATGTAATTTCAGTTTGTTCATAATTTACTGTAGCTGCTGCTTATTTCTCACACGACAGGGGCTCGGGTGATTATGGCATGCCGAGATGTGCAAAGGGGGGAAGCGGCTGCAGCCAGTATACGAGCTGCGTACCCCAAAGCACAAGTGGAAGTTTGGGAGCTCGATTTGGCAGATAGTTGCTCTATACGAGCCTTCGCACATAAATTCCTTAATGGTAAGCACAGCTGTTTAATGCCAACATCTACCTACAGAGACCTGCTTTGCTTTTTAACAGTTACCACAGCTGCCATGCTCCCTTTTGTTTGTGACATGCTCCTCTTTCAGAGGTCAGCCAGCTTCATATCCTTATCAACAACGCTGGGGTAAAAAAATGCCCCCCTACAAGAAACCCGCCGATGGCTTTGAGATGCATATAGGAGTCAATCACTTGGGTAAGACTTCAGTGAAATTTACTGTAATCAGCCAATCATTCAATCCATAAGCAGGAGTGAAAACTGACTGATTCAACAACTGGCTATGGTTTTTCAGAATCATGTTTAATGCAGAGTCAGTCTAAGTCAAGCGGAAAAATGATTGATTAAAGCTACTTTTCCTGCCACCGCATTTGGATCCAGACTCAGTCTTTGAAAAAGGATGTTTTTTGTTTGTTTTTTTAAACACTGGCATGTAATTTGCGGCCAGAGACAAGGAAAAAAATCTAAACTTTTTTTGTAATTTGGCACAAATCCACTCAAAGATGAACTGATAGGATTTTGGTGGTCAAAGGTCAAGGTCAGTGACCTCACTTCTGTCCCATACCCATGAATTTGACTGGGTGGTGGAAGCATACAAAATTAGTTGAACCAATTATATACTCTATTAATTGCCAGCCTATGGGATCCATTGCTTACCCAGAAGATAGTTGAAAATACATGTATATGACCAAGAGAATTTTAAATCTCGAGTCTTGTTTTTACTGTCTGAACTGATACTTAAGAACAGCTGATTAAATTGAGGTTACACATGCAGTCGGGATAGCATAAGTG